CCGTTCCAGCCATGCTGCTGGCTGCCATGGGAGGACCACGTGTGGGTGCTGGCACCCCCCCGGGGCTGCCTCCACCCTCGCCACTCAGCGCCGGCTCTCCCCCCTGGCAGGCCTGGGACATCACCAAGCGGACCTTCGCCTATACCAACCATACGGTGCTCCCTGAAGCCCTGGAGCGCTGGCCGGTGGACCTGGTGGAGAAGCTGCTCCCCAGACACCTGCAGATCATCTACGAGATCAACCAGAGGCACCTGGATGTAAGTGCCGTGGGGCGGCGCAGGAGCCCTCTCTGGAGAGGGTGAGAGGGATGGCACGCGTCGTGCTGTTGGGATCGGGGGGGGTGCACGAACCCATGACGTTGGGTGTGTGGCCGGGTGGTGCTGGCTGCTATTTTAGGAGGTTGGTGCGTAGGAAAGCCCTTTCCCACCACTGTATTGCCATCCTGCAGTCAGTGGCTGGTTTAAAGGCTTCACCCGTTGCTCCAGGGTCTTACCTGTTGGCATTTCTTTCCTCCCTAAATGCTAAATTCATCCTGGATGAGGTTGGGGGCACAAAGGAGAGGGTGGTTTGGCCTCCTGGCCTGGCAGCACAAGGCTTTGGCCAAAGTGGCCCTGCTGGTGAAGCACGTGCCCTCAAGCCCCTCTCCATGGGGGTTTGGGGGAATCCTTCCGCCCAGAGATGTCCGTGCTGGGGATACGGGGGGCTGTAGGGGGTTTGCACCGTCACCCTGTGCAAAGCCACCGCTCTGGCTGGTGTCAAATGCATTGGAGACGTTGCTGTGGCCCCCTCCTCGGGAACGACCGGCTGGGACAGCCCTCCTGACGCCAGCACCGCTCACCACCTCTCCGGCCTCCACCGGCAGCACATCGCATCCCTCTTCCCTAACGACGTGGACCGGCTGCGGAGGATGTCCCTGATAGAGGAGGGAGGCACCAAGAGGATCAACATGGCCCATCTCTGCATCGTCGGCTCCCACGCTGTCAACGGCGTGGCGAAGATCCACTCCGAAATAGTCAAGACTGAAGTGTAAGCCTGGGGAGGGAGGCGGTGAGGGGATCGCCCTCAGCTTGGAAGCTGGTGGGTGGCAGGTGGCACCGGGTGGGCGAGCCTGAAGCTGTCCCCTCCTCATCCTCGCAGCTTCAAGGACTTTGCAGTGCTGGAGCCGGAGAAGTTTCAGAACAAGACCAACGGCATCACCCCACGGCGCTGGCTCCTGCTCTGCAACCCGGGGCTGGCAGAGCTCATCGCAGAGGTAACGGCGCGGCGGGGAGCG